ATTTTGAAGAAATATGAAACCCTGTAACCATTGACATCCATAGTAGGCAAAACAAACAGAATGGAGGTCAATGGTTACATTCTGGGTATCAGATAGTAACTACATGGGTTAAAAGGATAGTTCACCCAAAGATAAAAATTTACTCTTTTTTTTACCCTCACAAAAGAAGATATTTTAAGGAAAGCTAAAAACCTGTAACTATTGACGTCCATAGTAGGCAAAACACATCAATGGTTATACTATATTCTGGGTAATACATAGTAACTACATGGGTTAAAGGGATAGTTCACCCAAAAATGCTAATTTACTCACATTTACCCTCACAAAAGAAGATATTTTGAAGAAAACCTGTAACCATTGACGTTTATCATAGGCAAAACAAATAGTATTTTTCAATATTTATACTGTATTCTGGGTAATACATAGTAACTACATGGGTTGAAAGGATAATACACACAAAAAAATGCTAATTTACTCACTATGTACCCTCACAAAAGAAGATATTTTGAAGAAAGATGAAACCCTGTTACCATTGACATCCAAAGTATGCAAAACATACAGTATGGAGGTCAATGGTTACATTCTGGGTATCAGATGGTGACTACATGGGTTAAAAGGATAGTTCATCCAAAGATGAAAATTTACTCTTTTTTTACCCTCACAAAAAAAGATATTTTAAGGAAAGCTGAAAACCTGTAACCATTGACATCCATTTCAGGCAAAACAAATAGAATGGAAGTCAATGCTTATATTGTGGATGATACATAGTAACTACATGGGTTCATATGATTTACATGTGTATATATAGCATATATATTTTTGTTTTTCGACAGAAGAAAGACACTCAAACAGATTTAGAATAAATGAAGAGCGAGTAAAAGATGACAAAATTTTCCATTTTTGGTGAACTGTCCCTTTAAGTTTAGGTACAGGTGTAGGTTTTGGAGTAATACCTACTTATTATCCTCCTTATTAATACTTATTTATTCTGTGTAATAAATAAATGCATAGTATACACATGTTAGTATGCACATGTTAAATAGTATTGTAAAACAAAGTGCCATACATACAGTTCTCAAAATAAATGCTTCTCAAACTACCTCAGTTGAGCTGAAACAACACAATTCTTGGGGATTTTGGAGGGACAATGTAAATCGTTTATGTTTAATTCACTTAAGTTTGCTAAAACTAATGAGTTAACTCAATTCCAATATTTTCCCAGTACTGGGTTGCGGCTGGAAGAGCATCCGTTGTGTATAACATATACTGGAATAGTTGGTAGTTCATTCCGCTGTGGTGACCCCTGATTTATAAGGTGAAGGGAAATGACTGACTAAATGCTTCCTTTATGTTACTGCAACACAAATCGATTGTGTGGATCCAATCATTTGTGTACAGTCAGGTATGCAGATCCAGTGCAATATTGCCTTGTTCAGACACACCAGTGGTGTTAGTGTCAGTCTCCAGCATTCAAGTGCACCCAGCTCTCCATAAAACAAAGTAACCTACAACAGATTGTTGCAGGTTTCCATCCGCAGCAGCCACTGGGGGACCATATAACATCCAGAGCAGAGGAATGAGAGATGGAGTGATGAAGAGAAAGAGTATATACTGGGCTCGGGGCAACAGGATGAGCGAATCAGTGACGCTCCATTTTACCCTGCACAAATCAGTGGGCAAGCGCAGATGGCCCTTCATTGTGTCTGTGGCACTATAGAGGAAATGATGTGCTCGCCCCAGGGAGACGCCACAACACCCACATACACCAAACAGAGGTGAAAGAAAAGGCCCACAGTCCCGCAAAGCCAATAAACTCGCCTACTCGATATATATAGAGTGTCACTGTGGGGTTTGCCTTCGCCATTATCAAAAGTACACCGTTTTCCCTTCACACGTTGTTGAGCTGTTGTTTTTAGATGCACATGCCGAGTGTTTTTTTTTTTTTTCTTTAAAGCATGCACTTTTTAATTCTTTTAAAACCATTAGAGTGATGATATTGATGCTTCAATGGATTTTTTTATATATTACAGATGTGACTGGTTTCAACGTGTTTATTGAAATGAACAGAATCAACATCAAACTGCTTCACTAAACAAAAAATAGGCAAAATATACCACCTAAATTAACTACACTATACACTTGATATTTTTTTTTCAATATTGAACGATAATGATTATTAGCTCCCCTTTAATTTTCTTTTTTAAATATTTCCCAAATGATGTTTAACAGAGCAAGGAAATTTTCACAGTATGTCTGATAATATATTTTTTTCTGGAGAAAGTCTTATTTGTTTTATTTTGGCTAGAATAAAAGCAGTTTTGAATTTTTTAAACAGCATTTTAAGGTCAAAATTATTAGCCCCTTTAAGCAATTTTTTGTTTTGTCCGATAGTCTACAGAACAAACCATCGTTATACAATAACTTGCCTAATTACCCTAACCTGCCTAGTTAACCTAATTAACATAGCTAAGCCTTTAGATGTCACTTTAAGCTGTATAGAAGTGTCTTGAAAAATATCTAGTAAAATATTATTCACTGTCATCATGGCAGAGATAAAATAAATCAGTCATTAGAAATGAGTTATTAAAACTATTATGTTTAGAAATGTGCTGGAAAAAAAAAATGCTCTCCGTTAAACAAAAATTGGGGAAAAAATAAACAGAGGGCTAATAATTCTGGCTTCAAAGTATATATATATATATATTTATAAATAGTAAAATATTATAGATCACATAAATAAACATACAAATAAATAAATAAGCTAAATAACTATTTAAAAAGAATTGATCATTTTAGATTGATTGGGGTGATTCATAGGGAAGTGCATAAAATATAAACAACCTACAAGCATACATTTAAGAAAGAAGATATAAATTAAATTAAATATTTATTTTATTTATTTGATAAAGCAATTAATTGTTTTATAGTACTGCATAGTCTTATTTTTATTAAAAAAAAATAAAAAAAAACATTAATTGTGTTAATTTGTCAATGAAACAAATGGTACAATTTCTTAGGCCTGAATGCTTTTAAAACCCTCACAGTCACAGGCTAAAAAAATGCTTGCGAAATAATAAATAATACAACATACTCTGCATACTCGTGATGTGACTATTGCGAATGATCACACAGCGATATCAATGCTGAAACGATATATTGTGCCCTAATAATGCCCTAAAAGTGTTCAGTATGCGTGATGTGCTCTATGGTTTTAAAAAATAGTAAAATGTTATGGATCACATGAATAAATAATTAAATAAATAAATAAAATATAAATAAAAATACAGTTTATACAAAGTTAATTTCAGCTAATTTGTAAAATATAATGGATAAATAAATAATAAAGAAATATTAAATTAGGAAAATATTATGGATCACATAAATAAATAAATAAATAAATAAATAAATAAATAAATAAACAAACAAACAAACAAACAAACAAACAAACAAACAAACAAACATGTGCTCTGTGGTTTTCAAAACTGAAATTGCATTGCATTTGTTTGTTAGACCCCAGTGGTCTCAGAATCCCCAGAATAGAAAGATGCTTGAAGTACATCAAGTGAAATTTGGTTCATAATCAGTGCTTTTAAGCAAAAAAGCCACTCGATATCAGCCTCTTTCTTGCATTTATGCACTGATCAGATGCTTTCCTGCAGAGTGATTTACATTTAAGTGCTTTGTATGTTCAGTGGAAATCAAACCCCATGACCTTGGTGTCACAAGTGTAACGCTCTGCCAGGTGAGTTACTAAACACGATACCTCAGTGTTAACTAGATTCTTCTTTTTTATTCTGACACTTTAATCCTAATGACTATGTATCATTTTCTAGTATAAGTCCTCCTTATGTTGCATTAAAGGAAAGACACAAAAGACAACAACGATGAAAGTTTAGATGTGAACTAAATAAGCATGTGTTTCTGTGAAAACAACCCCATTTAAAATTGTAAAGGCTATTAAAATAATAATAATTAAAAAAAAAAAAATAATAATAATAATAATAAAATTACTAATACAATTAAGACTACTACTAATATTAATAATAAAATTCATAATAATAATAATAATAATAATAATAATAATAATAATAATAATAATAATAATAAAATTACTAATACAATTAGGACTACTACTAATTATAATAATAATAATAATAATAATAATAATATAATAATAATAATAATAATAATAATAATAATAATAATAATAATAATAATAATAATAATAAATTTAATAATAATAATAATAATTAATTATAATTATAATAATGGCGACGCCGTGGCGCAGTAGGTAGTGCTGGCGCTTCACAGTAAGAATGTCGCTGGTTCGATCCTCGGCTCGGTTAGTGTTTCTGTGTGGAGTTTGCATGTTCTCCCTGCGTTCGCGTGGGTTTCCTCCGAGTGCTCCGGTTTCCCCCACAGTCCAAAGACATGCAGTACAGGTGAATGAGTGTGTGTGGATGTTTCTTAGAGATGGGTCGCGGCTGGAAGGGCATCCGCTGTGACGACCCCGGATTAATAAAGGGACTAAGCCGACTGAATGAATTAATAATACTACAACTCTCAACATCATAGATTTAACATGTACTGTGTGTGTGTGTGTGTGTGTGTGTGTGTGTGTGTGTGTGTGTGTTTGTTTTTATTACATGGTGGGGACCTCAGCATGATAGCACACTCACAAAGTGGGGACCAAAAACATAGTGGGGACCGATCGCCCGGTCCCCACCATGTTTTGCCTTTAAAAGACTCAGGGGGCGTTGCTGATATGCCTAGTGCAGTTTTTTTCACTGATCCCCACCTTGACCATTTACCTGAATTGAGTGTGTAAGTGTGTGTCGGCGCACTGCTCTATAGCGGTCCTGTAGTCGGATGGCGGTACTGCACCCTGACACACACTTACACACTCTGGCTACTGCACATGCGCAGATCTCATAAATGAATCCGACTTTAATCAACTTAATTAAGATCTATCATCAAATTAATCGAATTTTCGGGTAAGTTATAATGTTTTTCACCATCATAATGTAATGAAATCGGTTTTATGACAAATACTTATGTTGCATATTTTGACATTCATCAGGTATAGTTAATTAAATGTTTTAACGAATGTCCTGGGTGTTTTAATCGATGTTGTTTCAAATTACGTATTAATATAACACTGATAAGACACAAACTACAGTTCGGTATGTAATTTAACTTGTTTACACGAGTAAAAGTTACTCGCGCTAATGTGCTAACGTGCTAACTGCCCGGTGCTACGTGAGTCAGAGGCCGGGGTGGAGTGCATGAGCCGCGGTCAGACAGTCACCAATCACCGGGCGGCTAAATGGATCGACGGAGGATAAAACCATTAAAAGATGCGGAGAAACACATCACCAGCTCCACCGACAAGACCCATTCACTGGAAACCGAATATATAGAAGGTTACTAAGGTATGTTTTCATAGTTCTTGTATCATACTTTTTAAATGGTTAATTGCTTTAAACATGTAACGTTAATCCTGAAATAACACTATTATATACTATTTATACGTTAATGTAGTGATATAGAGGTTATAATTAAAATGTGGGGCCATCTGGTCCTAGAAATGTACTTAATTTATTGTTCTATGACGTGTAGAAACGTTTTATTTTAGATAAATAATTATAATAAACTCCAACTTAGTGTAAAACATATATAAAAGTACATAAATGTTCACTGTGTGTGTTTTATTTATTTATTTGCTGTCAACTGGTAGCCTTTTACAATAAGGTTAAATTAGTTAATGATGGTTAATGCATTTACTAACATGAACAATAAATAATACTTTATTACAGTATTTGTTCATGTTTGTTAACTTTAGTTAATGAAAATAAACTTGTTCATTACTAGTTAAACACGCACAATGCATTAATTATTGCAATGCATTATTACTGGTACAAGCATGAATTTAGATTTGAATAATGCATTAGTAAATGTTAAACTATGTTTAATAAATGCTGTACATGCATTGTTCATTACTAGGTCATGTTAGTAAGTACATTAACTAATAAAACCTGATTGTAAAGTGTGACCTGTAAACAATTGAAGTTGAAAAAAGTTCTTTAAAACTGTCCTAAGAAAGAAGAACAGGTGTTCAATAGTATTAGAACAACATTGAGGAAAGGTTCTGATCCACTTCAAAAGGTTTACTGTATTTATAATTCACACACAGAGAGGATGCTAATGTGAGGTTTTTGTAGTTTTTGAACCCTACACGTTTCATTAAATCTTTTAGGTCAGAGTTTGCGTTGTCCACATTTATTAAAGGAAGTTTTGTGGTTGAGTACAAATGATAGAGCTTGTGGAAGCAAAGCATAGATGAGATATTAATGAAAATACTGTCTTTATGTTTGACTTTATATGGTAAAACAAGAACAGGTGGTTAAGTGTTTTCCCCATTCAAATTTACATGTATATATTATATTCATTCTGTTTGTATTCATGCCATAGTTTAGCTTTTTATTGCTATGAGAGGGCATAATTAAAATGTTGCTTGCTCTTTTCTCTTAGTTTTGCAGCATTGATGCCGATCATGAGGACGATCTGCACCCTAACTGCACTGTCAATAAGATCGTTGTTCAGAGAAAACCTCATTTGTCCCGTTTTGCAATCAGGGATATTTTCTTTGGAGAGGAAATAACGTTTGACTATGGCGCATGTGATTGGCCTTGGAGAAAGGTTTGACATTTTGATCACTTAATACATTAATCCTTAATACATTCAGCAAAGCTAAGAGTTTTTTAATGTTAATATAGATTAAGGGTAAATCTGTTCAAAAATATAGAGTTTGCATCATCCATAAGAGATAATGAAATCAATCTCTTAATATCTTCTTCTTGTCTTAATGGGTAAAAAAGTTTAATTAATTGGGTAATGCTTTACTTTAAAGGGGGGTTCATAAGACTGTCATGAAAGCTTTATAGTCATGAAAGCTTTATAGTTTTATAGTTAAAGCTGTTTTTAAATAGCTTTCATTGAAGGATGCCCATATGACTGCAGAAGAGAACTGCTTCGACAACTCTCTGATGAGGTATGTTTATTAGTATTAGTATTATTATTATTATTAGTAGTAGTAGTAGATGTTGTTGCTGTAGTAGTGCATTTAATTGTAATTATTTAACTTAGTGTGTGTCCTAATTTATGAACATATGCACTAGTGTAACATTGTGGGGACCAGAGGCATGTTAGAGAGGCTGTGAAACACACTTAGTCCTCAATACACACACAGTACGGTCTGACATAGTAGGGCCCAGGAGCCCTGAGTACTACTGTCTAATTATTTGTTTTTTATATTCAGCTTTCATTGAAGTATGACCATATGACAGAAAAAGAGAACTGCTCTGCTCCAGTAGGAGACCCACAACCCTCTGATGAGGTGTGTTTAAATTTAATAATAATAATAATTATTATTAGTAGTAGTAGTAGAAGTAGTAGTAGTAGTTGTTGTTGTTGTTGTAGTAGTAGTGCATTTAATTATAATTATTTAACTTAATCAAAATCTAGAAATGAAACAGAGTGTGTGTCCTAATTGGTGAACGTATGCACTAGTGTAACATTGTGGGGACCAGAGGCATGTTAGAGAAGCTGGGAAACACACTTAGTCCTGAATACACACACAATAAGGTCTGACATAGTGGGGACCGGAACCCTTGAGTACTACTGTCTAACTAATATATATTTTTTTATTTTCAGCTTATATTGAAAGTTGGCCATATGACAGAGGAAGAGAACTGCTCTGCTCCAGTACGAGACTCACAACCAGAGATGTATAGTAACGAAGTAGAACTACTTCACTACTGTACTTAAGTACTAAAAGGCAGTATCTGTACTTTACTGGAGTATTATTTTTTTCTCCTACTTCCACTTTTACTTAAGTACATATTTTCCATGAGTTTAATACTTTTACTCCGATAGATTTTTTATGTGCTGCATCGTTACTCGTTACTAGGGGTGTCAAAATGATTGATATCAGTTCAGAAATAGGTCATAACCGGTGATTACGTGATGACGTCATTTATCTCCTATGCGCGATGTCGCAATACTATGGCGAAGGACGGAGGCGCGAGGGCGAGGCGGCACAGCATATCAGCCGCTAGTTTACTATTAGGGAGAAATGTTGTAAAACTTCACCTCTGCCTATCTCTCGCTCTTTCACTTTGGACATTTGACCCGCGGGCCAGTTTGTAAGGTAACTTTTCCTCTCTTCTTAGCTGTTAAAGCTGTGGATCCAGACATAAGCGTGCCTCATGTGCAATTAAGGTTTCTCCACTGTGTCTACCTGTGATAATCGCGTATTCTTCCCGCCATGGCTGAACAGCGCTTATATTTCTAAAGCCCTTTCTGTTGAGGACAAACAATAACCAATCATAGCCGTGTAAGACCCGCCTTTCAGCGCTCAAAAAGCAGGCGGGATAATATTGACATGAGTTTATTAGCTGTAAATGCTCGTGCTGTCTTCTGTGCATGAGTTTTGTTTGATACATCCAGAAAGAGTGTTTTCTTTGAGCAGGTCAAATTAAGGGCACAGTTCGTATATCTGACTGCTGTATTAAAGGACAAATTTTTATTACAAAAAACCCTTTAACTGTCACACCAAGACAAAAGCAATAGAAATTTTTTGATTGCATTTCTTAACTCCTAATGTCGCTAGTTAACACAATCAGTGCATTTTTATTCAACACATCACATTATTTTTAAAATATCAGCCTCTACCAAATGGTTGAGATGTTGGTTTATGGTAAAAGTACCAGAATTAATAAATATACTACAGAAAATATGAACTGTAAGACCAATTTCATTAAAAATGTGATAAAAATAAATAACAATTATTACTAAATCATAGCCATAAGCCATAAAATATTTCAGATTTTCATTTAACACAGTAATATACACGTTTTCCTGTTTTTTTTTTTTTTTTACAATAAAATCAAACAAATTTGTGAAGCAGGATTTAGTTTGCTTGCTTAGTTTAGTTTCACGAGTGCTTCCAGAAGACAGAACTCCTGTTTATTGTGGTATTAACCAATCAAACTTCAAAACTCCCAAAGTTTGAGTGTGTCTTTGTGTGTGTGTGTGTGTGAGTGATAGTGAATAATGTGTGTGTAAGAGAAAACAACAGTGTGATTGTACCTGTGTGTGCATCTGTGTGTGTGTGTGTGTGTAAGAGAGAGTGTAAAAACAATTGCAACCTATGTAATGTCCCCACAATTCACAAAAATGTGTGTGTGAGAGAGAGAGAGAGAGAGAGAGAGAGAGAGAGAGATAGAGAGAGAACTGTGTGTGTGAGAGTGTATGAATGTGTGAGAGTGGGGAGAGAGTGTACATTTAGGTGTGTGCAGGGCAGTGTGTGTGTGTGTGTGTGTGTGTGTGTGAGAGAGAGAGAGAGAGAGAGAGAGAGAGAGAGAGAGAGAGTGTGTATGTATGTGAGTGAACATGCTGAATTATCTCATCAGTGAAGGCATTTTCTGGTTAAAGGGCCTGACGATGTGAGCTCTTGTACCATAGAAACTATTTACAGAGGAATAGTTAGTATCATAAGCCATGTTTCTTTTCGTTCTGCTTAATCAAGTACCCCAAAAAAGATATTTAAAATAAACAAAACAATTAGTGTATTTTGACTGCTTTCTTTAATAACTACATTACACAATACTTGTACTTTTACTTTCAGTACTTGAGTAGTAAATTTTGAAATAAACTACTTGTAATACTTAAGTACAAAAAATGTTGAATACTTTTATACTTCCACTTAAGTATGGTGCTTAAAGAGCACTTCTACTTCTACTCAAGTCAATTTTTGATAAAGCACTTGTACTTTTACTTAAGTATGGGTCTCTAGTACTTTATACATCTCTGCTCACAACTCTGATGAGGTGTGTTTAATGTTGTTGTTGTTATTATTATTATTAGTAGTAGTAGTTGTAGTAGTTGTTGTTGTAGTAGTAGTAGTGCATTTAATTGTAATTATTTATCTTAATCAAAATATAGAAATGAAACAGAGTGTGTGTCCTAATTTATGAACATATGCACTAGTGTAACATTGTGGGGACCAGAGGCATGTTAGAGAAGCTGTGAAACACACTTAGTCCTGAATACACACACAGTATGGTCTGACATAGTGGGGACCGGAACCCTTGAGTACTGCTGTCTAACTAATATATATATATATATTTATATTCAGGTTTGCTGAAGTATGACCGTATGACAGAAGGAGAGAACAGCTCTGCTCCAGTACGAGACCCACAACCCTCTGATGAGGTGTGTTTATTAATATTGTTGTTGTTGTTATTATTATTAGTATTATTATTATTACTAGTTGTTGTAGTAGTAGTAGTAGTAGTTGTTGTTGTAGTAGTGGTGTATTTAATTGTAATTATTTAACTTAATCAAAATATAGAAATGAAACAGTGTGTGTGTCCTAATTGGTGAACATATGCACTGACATTGTGGGGACCAGAGGCATGTTAGAGAAGCTGTAAAACACACTTAGTCCTGAATACACACACAGTACGGTCCGACATAGTGGGGACCGGGACCCTTGAGTACTGCTGTCTAACTAATATATATTTTTTAATTTTTTTTATTCAGCTTTGATTGAAGGATGACCATATGACAGAGGAAGAGAACTGCTCTGCTCCAGTACGTGACCCACACCTCTCTGATGAGGTGTGTTTAATGTTGTTGTTGTTATTATTTTTATTAGTAGTAGTAGTTGTAGTAGTAGTTGTTGTTGTAGTAGCAGTGCATTTAATTGTAATTATTTAACTTAATCAAAATATAGAAATGAAACAGAGTGTGTGTCCTAATTTATGAACATATGCACTAGTGTAACATTGTGGGGACCAGAGGCATGTTAGAGAAACTGTGAAACACACTTAGTCCTGAATACACACAGTAAGGTCTGACGTAGTGGGGACCGGGACCCTTGAGTACTGCTGTTTAACTAATATAAATATATATATATATATATATATTTTTTTTATTCAGCTTTTATTGAAGGATGGAAGGATGACCATATGACAGAGGAAGAGAACTGCTCTGCTCCAGTAGGAGACCCACAACTCTGATGAGGTGTGTTTATAATAATAATAATAACAATTATTATTATAATTATTATAATTAATATTATTAGTTGTAGTAGTAATAGTAGTGGTTGTTTGTAGTAGTGGTATATTTAATTATAATTATTTAACTTAATCAAAATATAGAAATGAAACAGTGTGTGTGTCCTAATTGGTGAACATATGCACTGATATTGTGGGGACCAGAGGCATGTTAGAGAAGCTGTGAAACACACTTAGTCCTGAATACACACACAGTATGGTCTGACACAGTGGGGACCGCGACCCTTGAGTACTGCTGTCTAACTAATATATATTTTTTTATATTCAGCTTTTATTGAAGGATGACCATATGACAGGGGAAGAGAACTGCTCTGCTCCAGCACGGGACTCACAACTCTGTTATTGCATATCAGATTTAACGAACCGTTTACTACGGATTTCATGTAATTTTGATAACTGTCCATTAATCAGATGTCATCACGCTGCTGTGCCGTCAGCCAATCTTTGTATTGCTGATAATGATTTTGAGGATCGATAGATCTGTCACAACACACAGTCACGACACCTCTCAGATCAGTTTAATCTGATTCGCAAACTTTTTTGAAGAACCAAATTAGCCTAAGATGAGTTATCAAGATTAAAAGATCCAGGATCTGTAATATAATCTTAGATTATTTAAGCGAGGTCAGACCCCTGGACCCTTGAGTACTACTGTCTAAATTATATATTTCAAAATAAAAATTATAAATTATATAAAAAAAATATATAAAA